GATATCGAGGTCTTCAACGTTAAAGGGTTAGAACTTTGAACTTTGGAACAAGCGTGAAATTCCAATTCGAGGCAAACCTTTCCAGGAACGACTTATTGAGGAAGGAATTTATCGGTAGGTTTTACGGCTCTTCTCGGTTGCTTTTCCTTCACTGCGAAACAAATATATAGAAGTGGGGTCAGATGGAACGATCCAGTTCACGCGAAACGTGTTTGCGGTTGATCAGGGTTTTCTAGGTCAGATACGCACAGTCTTCAACATTAACATAATTATGATACTTAATTTCATTCACAGTCCCGTAAGTACTTCCTTCATAAGTAAATGAATCCAAAGAAATTCTAATTTCAACGACTCTACCTGCATCCTGATAATAACATATACGATTCATAAATGATTAAACTATAACATCGATAGCATTAAATATTATTGTCATATACAATAATAATAATAATAGTAATTATATATTATTAATTAATAATTATATTATTATAATTATTATAATTATATTATTATAATTATACATTATTAATTTTAAGAAATATATATTAATAATAATTATTATTATACACTGTATATGTTATTAATTTCTAGAAATATAATTTAAAAAATATTACACACACACACACACACACACACGCGCGCGTGTGTGTAATGTATCTTCATTCTACAATAAAAAAAGCTGTTTAAGTAATCCCATATTTCACCTCAAGGTGAAATAAAACTCAATTATTCAAGTGCGTCTTAACGCAATATATTCTATTACGCTTTCATCGTAGAACACTGTGGCGCCAATGTGGATACACGAGTACCCATAATCCCCATTGTTTCTCTCGAATATTTTCTTTCGAAAAGAGAAAGCTGACCCTTTCGGAAAGAGTTCTCTATGCTGTTACCTTATACCTTTCTGGGTTACCGGATACGCGAATAAGAAAGATGATATCGAGTAAAAACTTCGACAACGCGAAATAGCGGCTAACCTCGAAATTGTTCGCAGGTCCATTCTCTCGACCAATATGGCGCGAATTTAAAAAAAATTAATATTGGAAGCTATAAATTGTATTGATTCAAATCGAATTAGAATCGTGTTGATTAATAAATATTCTTTTATGGCGTTTTATTTTTTTTTTTTTTTCAAATCGTTTCGCAGGGTTTTGAAAAAATATATATATATATATATTTAGAACAATGTGGTTGGAGATGAATGTCCCAACTGAAAGGGATAATGAGATTTTCTCAACTGATAATGTTTCTAAACTTTCCAACTATGAAAAACTCAATAATTACGTATACAACAATTATTATATTATTTAATGTCGAAAGTTAAATTCAGAATAACATAACTCTTTAATACTATTAGCAGCTATTAATTAAAAATTTGATTACAATTAGACAACGATACAATGTGATACTTTACATTGTTCTATGTAAATAGGTACAAGTGTATGATAATATAAGCGAAAGAATGTGCCTGCTCTTTGTATTTCAACGCGTGTATCTTATGACCTAGGGTGAGAACCTTGGGAACTATACAACTCTTCGTACAAGTCTGTCGTGCAATGCGAAGACAGAACGTGTATAATGCATTAGCGCAAATAAGAGAGATGAAAAGCGGAAGCTAGAAAAGAGGAGGACACCGGTGATAACTGAAACGATGAAAGAGAGAACGATGAAGAGAAGAAAGACGCAGGATGATCGGGTGCATGCTCTCCACGCATGCCACGTGTTTTAGCACCTGCCTCTGCTAGACATCTGATAATGAGAAAAATACACGCGCAGATCATTTAAATACTCGCTTTACCCTGGCAACGAGCGTGTTTTCCTCGAGAAGTTACCCGTGGCACGACTTCAACGATCCTAGTTTCACTGTGTGTCGTACGAGAAACGAATTTCAAAGTTCTCCCGCGAGAACGTGAATCAATTAATCGGCGATGACGTTTGAAATTTGTCAACGTTTATCTCATTGTAAAAGATAAATATTCTGCGTCTCGTTTATCTGACAAACAGTTGAGCGCTCCGCGGGGTGAACTACCTCCGAACAAAACAAAAAGATAAAAAGAACGCACGTTCGTTCGTGTGTTCGAATCGATCGAGAGTCGATTAAGAAATATCGGCGGTAGTAAGTGACCCGGATACGAATATAATCCGCGTTCGTATATATAATCCAAGTCGCCGAGGATAAGAAAATAGAGAACGAAAATAGAAAGTTTCACACGTTTCACGAGAAAGAGATAAAGAGACTCACCTCTTTCTAGCTAATTGCATATCGATCAATGTTGCATGGTACGCTGATGGCTACCCGATCCAGAAGAAAAAAATTAACGAGCCACGATTTATTACGATAAATTCCCGACGGTCGTCGAACTTGACAACATGGCCGAACTCACCCTCGATCGAACAGCGAAGATTCGTGACCACCAGAGGAGAGGAAGTCGATCGAGGACTATCAGAGTGCGGATAATTTTCGTGAACTATACCGACAAATACGCCTATCGCAAGGGCACGACCTATTGGATATACGTGTTTGATATGACACTTTTGTTTACACACAAAACTTGACAGAAGAGACGAGGATTTCACGCTCATGAAATTATTCGGGTCATTCGAAATTCACACCATGCTGGGGTAACTTCTCCCGCGGTAATTAGCGAGAATGTACATGTCAGCGATATCTGTTGAGAAATGCTCGAGTCGTGTTACAAATTGTACCGGCGAGCTCGTTGATAATATCATTATTGACTACTACGTTTGTGGCGCTGCGTTTCAAAATCTGTCTGAATTGGTACGACAGGATGTGACACAAAAATGGTAAGCGGTTCCTAGGACTTCGAAATATGAACAAGAAAATACGTTACACGCGAAGTCTATTCATATACATCGTCCATGTGGCAGAATAATTAAAATTATTTTGTTCGTTTTTGTATAAAAAAATATTAAATTTTTAATATTGTACGCTTGTAATCGTAAACGTAATCTGTTTTATTCTTAACGAGTTTGACATTACAGACTCATCCGTGTTTACATGTTTCATATTTACGACTTTTCGTCTTTTATCGTACGTCTTTTTGCATATATTTTATTGATGGAATATAAATTTTTTAAGCATTTAATGATGTAAGATTTAGTGTATTTTTTTTTTTTATCAAAACATAAAATTGACGAATTGTTATCCTGTTAATTACAAAGAGCGAAGTGTCCTCCGTCGTCTGTACCGGTAAAAATTGTACCACATTGTAAAATTTACTCGCATGAAAACATTTCTGTCATTTAATATTTCTAAGAAACATATGTTGCATTATCGAAGATGAAGTTCAGGTGCAGAATGATGGATGTAATTGCAATGCGAGACTTCACTAGTGAGTTTAAATTTTAGAAACTGTTTCTAACCTTTTCTCGCACTTGTTACTGTGTGTAACTGAATATCGACAAGTATTGCTACAATTACATTATTTATTGGGAATAGTTTAGTGATATCAATACAAATTTTTATATTGAATCTAAGGAAGACGATTGACGTCAGTAACAGCGACATTAAAATAAAAAATTTTATTTCAGACATAGTTAACGTTATTTCTCGAATAACGAAACAGTGTACCTTGCGGTTAACGTCGGACGAATTGTGCTTCAGCGTCAGCTACGACCGAGCATCGATGATTTGGGCCGAACTAACTCAGACTCATTTTTTCACGGAATATGTTATGAACGGTGTCTCTGAAGAACAGAACGAAATTTATTTGGAATTCGATCCTACCATGCTCGCCAAATCTCTAGGATCATTACGAATGACTGCAAAGAGCGTTAAAATCAAATTAACAAACAAACGTCAACCGTGTCTCACGATAGAAATTGAGTTACCTTCGTTAAGTTTGGAATCAAGGCAATGTTTGCACGATGTGCCTGTTAGAGTCATACCGCGACGCGAATGGACCGAGCACCAAGCGCCAAATATTCCTGAATTTGATGTATGAACTCTCCTTATTTGCTGTTTCACCCATAAAAATTATTCTTTGATTGTTACTAGTTATTAACAGCGCTTCTGTTCATATTCTTCTTTTTTTAGATTTCGGTTGATATGCCTCAACTTAAACACGTGAAACATATCGTGGAAAGGATGAAAAACATGAGTCCACGATTAACGTTGGATGCCAGCAAAACTGGCGTGTTTGCATTAAAAGTCGACACGGATAGCGCCACGGTGTCCACACATTTTCAAGAACTGCAAGTTTGGAGTAGTAGTCAACGACACCAGGAAGACAAAGTATCAGCTACTATAGACATTAAAAAGTTCTTCATGTTCCTAGCTTGGGACATAGTGCATCCTGATGGCGTGAAATGTAATATAATTCAAGACAGGGTGGTTAACTTGTTTCTACATGTAGCAGATTATGTTAAAATACAGTATTTCCTACCCTCCGTGTTTACCTAAGTCGCGTGAACTTTAACGATAATGTTTTAAGACAATATAAATTCTTTATTTTTTTACACAGTTTTTCTGAGTTTCTTTTTTTTCTTTAACACATAAAAACAATCGCTGCAAAATGTACATTCCGCTCAAAAGCTTCACATTGTACAATTATAAAAATTTAGGGAGTAATTAATTATATGCCAAACTAAAGCTTCGTTCGTTCTCTTGTCGGAAATTTTGATGCATCTGATCGATATAAAAATTCAGGGAGTAATTAATTATATGCCAAACTAAAGCTTCGTTCGTTCTCTTGTCGGAAATTTTGATGCATCTGATCGATCTGCTGTATCTTTTGACTCAACAAAGTTGTTTGCTGATCTAGCCACTGTAAACTGTTCATGTGAGCGTTCAATATTTTGCCAATTTGAACGATCGGGTCACTGGAATCTTGAGTACGATTAGCTTGATTTAAATGCTCGATGATTTCCTTCAAATCCTCTGACATTCGTTTTAATTGGGTATCAAGATCTTCTGCCAAACGATACGTATATTCCCTTTCTGGATCAGACACTGAAAGAGATGCTAATTCTTTTTCTAGAGGTATTAAACAATCTTGCAACTCTTTCTGTTGGCCAACCTGTATTTGTAATTACACATTTACAAAACTATAAACTTTATATTTTATGTCATTTGATATACCACACTATGTAACTTACAACATAATCCAATTCATGCTCCAGTTGCTGCTGCTCGATTTTGACTCTTTCTACTTCTTGATTAAGTGCTACTATTTTCTCTCCATTACTTATAAGTAATTTATCCCAAACGTTAACTTGTTCAGCTTGATTCACAAATACTTTCTCTTGTTCTTCTAATTCCATCGTCCATTTATTAATAGATTCTTCAAATGAATTTATAGAAGCAGGTTGAGGTTGAGTGGCAGATGAAGTAACACTATAATGTTTCATTTAATAAATTATTAAAATATTATGTGTTAATTATCATTGTAAAGTGATAAATAGACATACGTTGTGGTTGTTCCTAACGACACTTGAGTACTTGTGAGGCTTGCTGTGGCAGCAGTTTGATTTAAAGAAAACCCAGCTGTGCTGGTTGAAGTCGTTCCCGTGCCAAAGGTAAAACCTGTAGCTGCAGATGTTGTACTACTCGCACCAGTTAAAGAAAAACCTATAAAGGCAGTAAACAAATGTCATTTTCATGAAATAAACGTATCTTATACGTGCACTATAAAACCATGTGAAATTATATACTTGATGCTGTCGTAGTTGTAGCCGTTGTAGTAGTTGCGACAGGTGTTGCCGAAAGATTAAATCCAGTTCCTGTTGCCAAAGTATTCGGTGTGCCAAATGTTAGGCCAGTTGCAGCAGTGGATGCAGTAGTTTCACCACCACCCAACGTAAATCCAGTAAGTGGCTTGGATGCAAAGGCTGATGTAGCTACTGTTGTTGTTGTTGTGACTGTGGTAGTACTTCCTAAATTAAAATTTAGGTTACTTCCAACTGGTGCTGGCGCAGAGAATCCCGTAGATGTTATTAAGGTGGTTGCTGCAGGAGTTATCCCGGTACTAGCAGTTGTACCAGTACTAAATGTTAAAGGTGTTTGTGAAACTGCAGTGTTTGCAGGAATAGCAGCCGGTGTCCCGAAAGTAAAGCTAGTACTCTGAATAGGGGTACTGCTCAATCCGGTACCAAATACTCCACCGGGTTTACTTTGTGCTGGTGTGGAAGCAAGCGAGAATCCCGTTGGTTTTGCTGCATCTCCAGCGCCAGTAACTCCAAATGTAAAAGCTAAAAGAAAAATTAGTTTATATATAAAATAATAAAACTTAATTGTACTATTTGTTTATCATAAAATACCAAATGTACTTGTGGTTGGTACAGTGCTCGTGGGAGTAGTACTGGGCTGAGACTTTGGAGCATTGTACGTGAAACTCATTTTTATTCTTTATCTTTTTGTACCTGTAAAATAATGTATGTTTGAAATTATTTCATGGAAACGCTGATATTTTTAAAAGAGTTCATTCGAGAATTTCATAAATAAATGTACAACTAACCTTATTCGTTCTAAACGTCATTGACTATGACAAGCGTTCAGAGGATAAAGAATTGACGCTTAAATTGAAAATAATAAATTACTACAAAATGCTTGTAAATTATATTATTATATTTTATTATTTACTTTCACATCTGAAACAGGGACACTTCGAAAGCACGTTTCTAACGACAGCAAGATTCAAGCAAAATAAGACGCACTGTTGCTCTACCATACATTTTAGGTTAATAGATGGCATCGTAGTGATGAGACGCTCTTCGTGAATATTCTTTGAAATTCCAACGGACGTTAGTAGTGAATGATATTTAAAAATCAAATTATGTTTTTGCTTATTAATGCTATTTTTAATGCTTATTAAATTTTCTAACTACATCGACCAGCAAAAATTATCATTCAACATTTCATGTATATAGGATACTATCAAACCGTATAGTTCGAAGATTAAGTAAATTTTTTCGATACGAAAAGAAAATTGAAATCTAGTTCACGTAAATGTCAATGAGCAAAAGTGCGCGTAAAATCTACTTGCATATTCATTAAAAGGTTTAATCAATGTTACCGAACCTAACCTCAACTCACTGCACCGACTATTTTCTTTTTTTTTTTATATTAATGTACGATTGCTGTTGCATATATATATATATATATATATTAATTTCATGCTTAAAGATGTTCGTTAAATCGCTGCATCAGTCTTATCGTATGATAAAATCACGAGGCACAGCTGAATAGAGTGTACGCATTCGCATCTAGAATGTGAGCGTACATTTCCAGAAGCTTTTAACCGGCTTGTGCCTCGAAGATTCTTTACTGCTATCCGAGGTAAAGTTTGTTTCTACTAAAGTTTTTAGAGGCAGAGCCTTGTGTGTACAGCCCACGCAACAGTTCGCGCTCTGTGGGAGTTCTATGTGTTGGAAAACCAATCGTACGTACGCCTAATATTCGTTTCTTCTCAGAGTAAGCTCTTCAGCATTTTCTACGCGAAGTCTGTACGCACCGTGCAAAAGCAGTGTTGTGTACCTATGTATATTTGTGAATGTATACACGTAAGGCGCGAAAATTATACCTTGTGCATGTATATAAACATATGTGTATTTCAAACCCAGATTATAAAGACTGAAACAAAACAGATCTATCGAAACATGAATTGTGTCTTATATTAATCATTGCATCAGTATCCATTTGTATGTACAAAAAAAGCGCTTCGAAAGATAAAGCTTCGAATTCAAAAGCACGAGGAATTCGTGATTTATTACATTCGAACGAACTATTTCGAATATCCAATAGTACAAATTACTCGGTCATTCGTAGGAAGTAGTGCCATTTTATCACGACGGGATTTTGAATATCTCTTTTCCCTTTTAACGAACGATTAATTCCAGTTTCGAAATCGTGGCTAACACAACGATAATCGACTGTAGATTATTCGAAATTAAGATAAACGGCTGGTTCTTCTTGACGTATGAAAAATATTATCTTCTCGAACACGCTTATACAGATTTCATTTTTGTCAATCTATCGCGTGATCAGAATGTCGGTAATCGTTACGTTGTACCTGTGTATGCATTTGGTGAATATAATTCACGGTTCTACGTTGGTCGCTCCTCCTCAATCTGCGGTGGTTGTCGCTTTCGAAGATATCTATGACTTGTCATTGCTGGCCAATTCCTTGTCGGATCAAGGGATCGATGCCACGTTGATCATATCGGCGACCAGTAAAAGCGAACTCTATGAAACTTTAATCGACGTCGAAGTGCTCACAGTGAACGTCGAGGCCGAAAAATTTGCGACAACGATTCAAGCCTGCGAAGCATTATTGAAAGATGAAGAAATCGCGAAGAAAATACAGGAAATCCAACCAACCTTTGTTATATTCCCTGCATTTAGGTATAGTTCAATATTCTTATACTTACGAAATGTCTCACGTTGTTTGATATTGTATCGTGATTAGGGATTGAGTCGCGCAGCACCCGCGATTTTTTCTCGATATGTAAATGTATTTGTTTACATTTGCTTGCAGTATATAATTCTCGTATTTTGTATAAAAAAATAATAAAAATCCACTGTATTTTCAGTGTGTATGTATATTTCGAAAGTTACAACACTCCCAAGATTTCAACACACGAGCCGCCATTGATCATGATTCTATGAATTTTGAAAAGTATCAAAAAGTACTTTAAATACTAGTTAAATAAGTACTTTAAATATTAGGTTAAAATTAATAAACACATTAAATTTTTGTAATTTTAATGAGTTGCTTTGATTATATCTTAATCATTTTTTAATCATTCCGTGTCGTACTTCCAACAGTCGGTTACCGAGTTGTAAAACAATGAGTCATAGAAGCAACTATTTTTAACTCGAGAAGTTTTAAGTATCTTTTAGTTAGCTTCGTCTTTCAATTTCAGTCTTTATCAGTAAAAATTACGATTAAATAATAAGAGATAGTGATATTATTGTACACATTAACTGTAAAGCATAATTTGGTAAATTTACATGAAACATTATAAATCTGATTTTGAAATATCAGTCTCAACATTTCAAAGATATAGCATACATATTTCTCGAAATAATTTTAACGAATATTTTTGAAAAATAAGAACGATTAAAAAATCAACTCGATAAATAAATAATAAATTTACTGAAAAAAAGAGCATTTAGTTGATTTCCAGATCTAAGTTATATAAGTAAAATAATAAACAAAGATCATAATATGTTACGTTAAATAAAATTTTCGTTCAATTTTCAGGCACGACGGATGTTTACTACCATGGGTAAAAACTATCGGATCCATTCCAGTGATATGGACGCGTAATCAGGAGGAAGAGATATATGTTTTCGAATATTCTGGTGCCGCTTTTCCGATTCAGAGTGCAGGATTTTGGACCAGGTTGTGGATGACTGTCATGAGGAGGTCACTATTCTCCACAGCTCGAGACGGATACGCAGCACATGCTCTCCGGATAGCGGGAAAATATTTGCCAAATACTGGTCTCAATTTAGATAATCTGTACGCTGATGTCCGCCTTATACTTTGGGGCGCAGATGCTATCCTACGCTTAAACTATGCACCGCTCACTCAGCTGATAGTGGAAGTGAGATATCAAAAATGAGTATTCTGATTCTATTTTCTGTTCTCCTAATCAGATATTTCTCATGATTGATCGTGATTTATTGGAGTGCTTAGCTTAGACATTTGAAAATTACAACAAATCTGGAATTAGAAGATTTAGAAGTTTGAGTATTTGAAAATTTAAAAAGTAAGGAATTTTATAAGTTTAAAAATCCACTAATGATTTGACGATGCTTGATTCTATAATAATCTTCGCTTTTAGTTATAAATGTTGCGCCATGATATTGAACTTACATATTATGTGAGGTTTAAGTGGTTAGTGCAGTCATTGGAAGATAAAAGGTTCAGGTTCAAATTTCAGTTCAGCAACTTGATACCTTTAATCCTTTTCTTTTTATCACACATCATATATCACGATTCCCTAATAATACCACGCAATACCCAACAGCATCTTTAATTTATAGTTGAGAATTACGAAAGGAGAACGTTCTGTCAGCATTCTTTTTTATTGTAGATCGGCTGTCATCACTGCAGAGGGGCACATCCATTACAAAGTGACTTGAACAAGGCCCTGATCGAGTATCGACTGGGTACTGTTGTGGCACTCCTGGATGAAAATTATGAGACGTTAATTAAAGAGCTTGCACAAAAATTGCCTCAAGGCAGACAGAGTCAAGCAGTGGTTTGGAAGAATATGAAATGGCAGAACTCAAATGATGCTCTGCCAGAGAATCTTTTTATTCGCTCGAAAATTGATCGACAAGACCTAATAGGTAAAAGAGTATACTGAAATTATACTGAATTATACTGAATTATAGTATCTTATGATCTTCATAGGATACTAATAGGTTCTTGATTAAAGCTATAATTAATTACCTGAACTCTTTCAGTTCAAAGAATATTATTTATGTATCATCTTTCCTCTTCTGATTTTTCTCATATTTCCTGAATGAATGAGGAAATATGAGAATGAGGAACCATTTTAATAAATTTGTTAATATTACATCACGTCGTTGCAGGTTATGGACGTACAAGAGTGGTGTTAAGTCATTGTGCAGACACAGAACTCCTAGAAATCGCCTTCCATGGAACTCCAGTCATATGCTTCCCCAGAAATTCTAATGAATTTAAAAACGCTGTGCGAGCGATACAATTAGGCTTTGCACGTTCTGCTGAAGAGATCAATATCTCGTCTAATGAAGAAGTAGCCAATATTGTGACTCAGATTCATGAAACCATGGACTACCGTGAAAACGCTAGGAAAGTGTCTTTGGCCATTCGTGATAGAATAAATCCTGCTGTGGATAGATTAATTTATTGGTTGCGTTACATGGCCAGGACGAAGGATGACAACTTGAACTTCTTAACTCCAATTAGTTCAGCAAAAACTTTGAACGAAGATCTTCAATTTTTCCTCGGTCTGTTTGTAGGTGCTATAGTTGGAATATTTTTGGCAATAGGTTGCATGTTAGCGAGATATTTGATCGTATCTAAAAGAACGCAGAGATCAAAAGGAAGATATACACGATGAAAATATGATTGATTTAAGAGAGAGAAAAAATAAATAAATAAATAATCGATGGGATGGATAATTACGGACATTTTTCGCATATGTATTTATATAAATGCACGTTGAGTACAGGTACATACAAATACAAATGTTACGAGCTAGGGTTTATCTCATTGCTAAATGTAACTATTATGAGAATACTTGATCGATAAGATTGATTGATTGATTGATTGATTGGGAAAAAGCTAGGAAATATGATGTGGCGTGTTATCGTCGACGAGGAGATAAAAATAAATTACAATTTGTCAATACTGCGCTCTGTATGTCGTCTCGTTGCACGAGTGTTCGCTCGTGTGCGTTTATCGCCTAGATCCTTACAAACGTACGGACGAATCGGTACTTATAGTTCATTCGATTTTGTTTCTCTCGTTCACACGTTCGCTCTCTTTCTCTCACGCTCTCTCTCTCT